AGGTTTGCAGAAAGAGCCCCTCACATCAAGATGTTATAATTTTATCACTATGTATTGTTGTAATGTAAGAAATGAGAAAGCCAATTTCTGTAAAACAGCAACACATATGTAATCAATTAACCTGTTTTTGAGACGTTGATTGATGGATAAATATTGATGAGGACAACAAGAATAATGTTTCTACTCTTCATCAAAATAGGATGTTTACATCCATGTGAAAGTGGAGAGGGGTCTCATTCAACCAACAACAGTTCTGACACTTTGGCTTCAAGGAGCACTGTCCAAGGATATCATAGCTTTAGTGTACATGTTTATGGAGTGAGACGTGAACCAACAATATTTTAACTCTGAGGCAAGAACTCCAACAGGTACAGTGGTATAAAGGACAGGGTTCTGAAATTAAAGGCTGCAAAATTCAACTCCACAGTGCCACAGCACCTCTAGCACAAAAGAATTCTTAGAATCTAAAACTTTTAGCCAGATCAGTCCTCTCAGTCAAAACTGATTTGGCACACGTGCCATTTTGGAACCATTCAGGCCCCAGTGACTACCTTTTTGAATGTTTCCCGGGTCAGCATGAATTCAGTTAAACAAGTGTCCATTCACAACAGTTGTGTAAAGGAATCACCACTGGATTTCCAGATCAGATGCTTTTGATTTTCCTTTATACCTGCAGAGTTGATTAAAGTATAGTTTTGGATTTCATTGAGGGGTTTCAAAACCTTTTCTAGATTTACAAGGGACTAGTGCTGGTCTTGGACATGGATAGAAGAAGAGTTGTGAGTTCCTTCTGCAGAAAGTGTGCTGTTCATCAAAGCAACTACAGTTACAGTTTGTCTTGGGTCACAGCATAAATTGAATATGGGGTAGAGGTAGCAGAGAGAATAATTTGTGTGCAGAGCGTGAAGAAAGAGGGCTCTCAACAAAAGATCTTACTCACTAAGGGAATGCAGGCACTACCTCCAATTCAGGCAGGAATAGTGGTGAGGTACCCACATTTCACCATAGAAATGGCAACTGAACCTTTTGCAACCAGACCTGCAGTGTGAGGATGGCATTGCCAGTATGTACATCGATGGATCCTTCCAGGCAGAAGAAGGCAACAGTAGCAATATGTCACAGTTTTCCATTCAACACTGCAGCAGGGAGGTGAAAGAACCCCCTGCACAGGAAGCAGTAACTTCACTGTCTTCTCCCTTACCAGAGAGAAATAGCAAGACAGAACAAATGGCTTTGCTAAGCCAGTGGAAATGCTTCCCAAATGCAAAAGCCATCACTCCATGAATAGTTGATATGTAACCATACCCAGATGATCATGTTTTTGAATGCCTACTTTCCTGAAACAGCAACCGTGACATGTTCATTTTATCATAGCCTGCCATTCCAGCTGTCTGTGGACCACTACTAAGAACCTACTTGTTGATAGCCTGCCCATGATTCCCTTCCATCATATGACCATGTGTATGAATCATGCCCTTACAATGAGAACATTATAACCACCAGGAATAATAAAATTATACAATCATACAGTGCAGAAGAGGTCCTTCAGCCCATTGAGTTTGCACTGACAAAAAACTGGCCTAAATGTACACTAGTCCCACGCAGCACTTGGCCTTTAGCCTTGTATGTTATGACATTTCAAGTGCTCATCTGAGTACTTTGGAAAGGTTGTGAGGTTTCCTGTCTCAACTACCCTCCCAGGCAATGTATTCCAGATTCCTACCACACTCTGGATGAAAAGACTTTTTCTCAAATCCCCTCTAAACCTGCCTTCCACTTAAAATGATGTCCCCTTCAATGAAGGGTAACAGCCACTTTCTATCCAGTCTGCCTGTGTCCCCATAATCTTATACATTATAGTAGGGCCCCTCTCTCTGCTCCAAAGGAAACAGCTCAAACTTATCCAGCCTTTCTTCACAGCTAAACTGTTCTTTCTCAGGCAACATCCTGGTGAATCTTCCCTGCACCTCCTCCAGCGTAATCACATTTTTCGTATGGTGTGGTGATTAGAACTGCACATAGTCATCCAGCTGTGTCCAAACCAAAGTCATATACAGCTCCAACATAATCTCCCTGTTCTTATAATCTATATCACAACTGATAAAGGCAAGCAGCCTGTATGTCTTCTTAACTACCCTATTAACCCATCCTGCTACTTTCAGGAATCTGTGGACAAGCACCCAATATCCCTTTGTTCCTCTGAGCATCCAAGTGTCCTGCCATACCTTTCCAAACTGCATCACTTCACATCTTTCACGGTTAAAATCCATCTGCCACATTGTCCATCTGCCAAAACCATCTATATCTTCCTGTAACCTAAGACGTTCTTTCTTGCTATCGATCACTTGGCTATTTTTGTATTATCCGCAAACTTACTTATCATCCTCCTACGCTTTGTTCTCTATAATTTATATATATCATGAACAATAATGCACTAATCCCTGTGATATGGCACAAGACACCGGCCTCCAGACACACAAACAGCCTTCTATCACCACCCTCTCTCTCCAACTACTAAGCCAATTTCGGATCCAACTTGCCAAGTTACCCTGGATCCCATGAGTTTTTACCTTCTTTATCATGTGGGACCTTGTTAAAGGCTGTTCTGAAATCCATAAAGACTACATCAACTGCATTACCATCATCTACACAGCTGGTTACCTCCTTGAAAAATTCAATTAAATTTGTCAAGCATGACCTCCTTCTGACAAAGCCATGCCGACTATCCCTGATCAAATTCTGCCTCTCCAAGTGGAGATTAATTTTCTCCTCGGAATTTTTTCCATGGTTTTCCCACTACTGATGTGAGACTCCCTAGTCTGTAAATTTCATGGACCAAATTTGAACTTCCTTCCAAAGTGGCAGTGGATGCTAGATCGGTTGTTAACATTAAACCCAAGATAGATAATTTTTTATTAAGTAAAAGTATTAAGAGATATGAGCCAAAGGCAGGTATATGGAATTCGGCCACAGATCAGCCATGATCTCATTGAATGATGGAGCAGGCTTGAAGGCCTATTTCTATTTCCATGTTCCAAGTCATGACCATCTATGAAACAACACTTCGCTGCCCAAACTACTCAGGGGAGTTCTACAGTACTTGCCAGAATATGTCTCCAAGCTTGTGTAGTCTAGGCATCCTTTATAACTTTGTTTTTACGTGGACACAGCCATGTTGCTACTTAGTTTTTGGTGGCATATTGGTGGTAGAAGATGAAGAAGAGGAGGACAGTTGGCATCCAGAATTTCATTGCTTTGATTGAGCTGTTCATGAGTGGGATTTAGACACTGAGCCTTGAGATACCATTTCCACACCACTGTTGCTCCTTAATGCATATATTTCAAGATATATTCTACATTCCATCATCATGATCGCTTGGCCATAATCACAAAATAGGAGCCATCACCAAAAAAAATCCATATGAACTTTATCCATCAGTACTTGCAATAATGCACATAGATCTGAATTATCCCCTGCTGTGTATTCACTTAGTGCCTGTCCTGTCAGTACCTTCTTCTGGTCTATTGTTCCTACTTAGTGCAACTGAATGCCTGAAAGGTTCCTGCTTTGGACTGCACTACCTTGGAATAGGTGGCAGCCATGGAGTAGCAGTTGGTGTAAGTACAAATTGTGGCAAACAGCAAGAAGACAACAACTTCGTAGGTTTCCTCTGGGTGCTCCAGTTTCCTCCCACAGTCCAATGATGTGTAGATTAGGTGGATTGGCCATGTTAAGTTGCCCAGAGCATCTGGGTGGGAATAGCCATGGGAAATACTGGGATACAGGGATGGGGGATGGTCTGGGTGGAATGCTCTTCAGAGGGTCAGTGTGGACTTGATGGGCTGAATGGCCTGCTTCCACACTGTATGGATTCTATGATTCTATAATTGTGCTCCAAGGATCCACCTATAAACATTTGAACAGAAGACCATTTGGATCCTTGAGCCAGCTCCCCCCATGCACTATAATCATGGCTGATCTATTTGTCTTCTGACATCCACATTCGTACCTACCATGATAACCTTTTATTTCCTTGCCTAACAAGAATCTATCCACCTCCACCTAAAAGTTATTAAATGATCCAGGCTCCATTGCATTCTGAGGATAGTATACAATTAGTGTGCTCAATTACATGTTATACTTGCGATCCCCATGCCTGGATATCAAGCCAATCAAATTTTCCTCCAATGTTCCTCACGTGACTGAAAGTGTTCAAAGAAATTGCCTGCAGCCTTTCCAGCCTCCACAATATACTGAATGTTTGAAATTGACTCCAGGGAAAGTGACTGAGTCAAACATTTGTTGAGGAATTTGGTGATATCCAAGTAAAGGTCATGCTGATATAAACTACATTTAGTTGATAAGATATTCAGGCACAACAGTTCCCAGGTTCCAGAAATATAGCAGAGCACTGTCGCCTGTGGATCACACAGATCAGAATTAAATACTGGATAATATGAAGTTTTGACAGGGAACCCATACCACAGTAAAATATGGGAAGTGAGGGAGAATGAAATTTACTAGACTGATTAGACATTTTCCATTCCATTCCTCTTTATCTTATTTTGCTTCAGAAATCCTTCCTCATTGAACTTGGAGGCTGTCTGACTTCAGTCCTCTTGGCCATCTTTTTCAGCCATGTCACAGCTTGCTAACATAGCTGTCTAACACGCAGACGCATGCTCTCCACTTAGCTTTTCCCCCTCCTGCAAAAACTGAATTTCACAAGCTCTGTGTCTATTTTGACCACTGCATCTGTTTCCCTAGCAGCCGAAGACACAGGCTGGTTTCTCAGAAGTCCAATGCCGCAGGCAGGAATTCCAATATACAAACCCTCACAACAAATCTGCAGTTCTGGATTCTTTTCCAGTTATGGGCTGTCTCAAAATGAGCAGTTTAGAATTATTTATAACTGTAATGTCCCAATTATTTTTACACTAGACAGCTTTTAAATAGAGTTTCAATTAAGTTTTTACTTGCAACAATTAATTTTCTTTACCTGCCATGCTTCAACTTTCTTTATATCGGGACATGATCCATTTGCAAAAATACCCTTGCCTGGTTTGCAGTCATAGATGTCCTGCAGAGCATGAGCAATTGAATATACTGCCACATATACATTATATGAAATACGTAGGTGAGTATAATCCAGATAAGGAGTTTCCACACTCGTGATATTCTCTTCTCCAGTGCATGGGGGTCTTGATCTTGTTCTTGCGGAATGTTGCGTTTTAGCATTGCCATCCTGCATTGCTAATCCATGGGTTGGTGTTTTTGAATTTTTTAGCTGTGTTAGGGATTCGTCAGTGAAATAACAATTAAATGTTTCTTCCCAAAATTCCTTGACAAATCCATTGTCTGACGATCTGCTGGGATGGACTCTTTTTAAAAACTCATTGAATCCTGGGATGCGGCCTGCTGGGAGTGCAATTCCAATGGTTCCACCAACAACGTGGAAATATTCTGGCTTGGCTATCAATGAGGAACTTGCCCATGCTTCACTTGCCAGCCATATTCTACCAGTGATGTTTCGGCGAACTATCTCTTGTATCAATGGTTCCAAGTCAGGGCCATTTGAGAAGACAACAATCACTTTGGCTGAGGAATTCTGAATGATATCTGCAAGCTGTTCCACCTGTTTCTGGGTATAATACTGAGAAATCATCTCACTGAAATCTATGCAGATGTCCCGTTCTTCAGCTTCTTCCCGAAACTTATCTATCCCTGGACGCCCATAATCGTCGTCAGCTGCCAAAGTGCCCACCCAATTCCACTGAAAATGCTCAATAATTTCAGCCATGGCGGTAGCCTGCTGCCCATCATTGGGGATTATGCGAAGAAAAGCCTTGTATTCGTTCTTGTTGCTTAAGAGCCTGCTTGAGGAGGCATAGCTGACCTTCAATAGAAACAAGAAGTGTTAGCGAGGGTCACTTGTGCAAAGGCTAAACAATCATTAATCGAAATTCTAAAACTTTTGTGCAATGAACATTTGAGTTCATGTTGACCAAGAAATTAATTTCACCTTAGCTGATACAACCCTCCAGAAAAAGCTAAGAACTGAAGAACTGCCTTGAATATATATTCAGAATGTGAAAACTAATAAGTATGCAGTGGGACATGGATTTAACTGAAACATTTTTTAGTCCACATCAGAGAACATAAATCCTAAGTAGATGGTCCTGTAGATGTCCAAACACCAGTTCCTCAGGAGGCTCAGGGTCTTGTATCAGTTCATCATGGACTGATGCAGAAGGCATCTTGCCAAAGTAAGCTGGTGGACAAGCAGTGCCAATGCTTTAAAAATCACCATCTTAATTTCTTCATCTCTGATTCTTGACAATGATTTATACGAGATATTTACAAAATATTACAATCTGCTCTCCACCAATGCATCTCACAGGTGCTATAAAGTAGGGTCAGGAATTGCATGGATCTTGCAACCGATGAGGCAATTTTGAGTGAGTGAATGCCCACTTTTGTGAATCTGGTTGGCTTCCTACAGGAGCAAGGAGTCACAGACTGCACACATGGTTAGCAAGGAATTCCCTGACCTGCTTAGTGTCTTTGTTACCTGCAACGGCTTCCATTCCACCAATGTGCAAACACCACAAGATTTTCATTCATGTTTGTGCTTTAATACTTACTTCCTGAACCAGTCAAACTCTCCTGAGCCCCTCACAACACACAGACAGTCTGTGACTGTGTGGAGACATGGTACCTGCTGAAGACCTGGCTGCTAACAACAGTGAGGTGCCTAGTCAATGATGCTCAGGAAGATTACATTTGAAGACACCTGACCATGAGAGTTTCTACCAAACAAGCAATCTCCTGTATCCGGACAGTTCAGAGGATGTCTTTCAAAAAGTACCAGCTCAAATATCCAGGGTGATTATGGTATCCATGTACAGAACAACAGGGGAAAATGGACAAACAGAAAATGGTGCAAACAAATAGTTTAAATCTTATAGAAGAGTTAGGCAGAAGCTTAACAATATGACTTGTGTTAAGTATCCATATGCATACATAATATCGTGCAACTAGAGTTCTGTACTTTTCTTTTTGTGATACAGCCCATAGTTTGTTAGTTGTTTTCTACACCCACATTGTTTTAAAAGGCTGCATTTTTTGAGACAGCCCGTAACTGGAAAAGAATCCAGAACTGCAGATTTGTTGTGAGGGTTTGTATATTGGAATTCCTGCCTGTGGCATTGGACTTCTGAGAAACCAGCCTGTGGCTTTGACTGCTAGGGAAACAGACGCAGTGGTCAAAATAGACACAGAGCTTGTGAAATTCAGTTTTTGCAGGAGGGGGAAAAGCTAAGTGGAGAGCATGCGTCTCTGTGTTAGACAGCTATGTTAGCAAGCTGTGACGTGGCTGAAGAAGATGGCCAAGAGGACTGAAGTCAGGCAGCCTCCAAGTTCAATGAGTAAGGATTTCTGAAGCAAAATGAGGGCAACTGCCTGCAGCCCTGAAGCCTAAAGGATATCACCTCCAAAATGATTTCCCCTTCAGCTCTCAAGCCTTTCACCCTTTAAGATTTGGTCTTTGCCAGGCTGCTGTAGGCGCTAGGTGTCCTGTCAGCCTCAACAGTAACTGTGGGGACTTGTGGGATTTTCTGATTGTACTGGCAGCTCTCACAGCGAGGTGCACACCTGACAGCTGCCAATTAATTGGCTCCTGTCCCTAAAACATAGGGGAACGTCCCAGTGTCCACTCATTGGTACTGGTGACATAGTTCTCTCTTGATACTGGGGACTGTACACTAATAGTGAAATTCTAGCCAATTTCAGATCTTTCAATTTAAGTCCTTTCTGTGTTCTGATCAAAGGTCATCAACCTGAAACATATACTCTTGTTTTTCTCTTTCAATTGATGCTGCCAGAGCTGCTGAGTATATTCAGCGTTTTCCCTTTTTATTTCAAACATTCAAGCATCTTTAGTTCCCTTAGGCAGTTAGTTGTTTCTGGCCTACCTTTGTGGTTTCATTAGGTGGTCACTGAAATTTGAATGGCTACGCTTTCAAGGGACTAGAAAAATGTATTCTGCTAAAAAATTATTCTTGGATCATACTTCATTAGTGCACTAGATTGAGGATTGAGTTACAATGAAGAAATTCAGGAAAACCTATCTACCAAAAAGTGTGGAGTTTTACTTATAAATGCCACTCCTAAGCTTGTTCTCATTTGTCTCTTAAACAGCTTCAAATTATTCACTGCACTTGCAAGAAACTGAATGTAGAATCATATCCTAAAAACCAATATGTATAAGATTCAATGTTGCTATTTTTATAAAAGTTACAACTAACATGCTATTGATGCCATATAATTTAGATAATTGTGTAGGAATCTGAATGTTATTACAATCATCAATTTTAGTAATACTACTACTAGATATTAAGATTTGTTAATTATGATCAAGAGGAGCTCATAAATGACCTGAAAGTTTTATTACCATTCATACCACATGTTAAAAGAATGAGCGTGTGAATGTCAAACTATGCAGAACCCCGGGATCACTGAAGATGATTTTAATTTTGAACAACAGTATAAAGCAAGCTATAGTGAATTAGTCACCTGTTACATACCATGCTTGATCCCGTGTTCCATTGCTCAGAGTTAAAGTAGCTCCTTGTTATTTAAGCTCTCTTGCAGGGAGTGAAGGGACAGGAGCTGTGAGCATGGGGAATCAGGAGCAGTACATGTCAGGTGGAGAACTGAGGGGTGCAGGAGCTGTATTGGTGGGGAGTCAGGGTGGGTGCTGTGAGGGTCTTTATGGGGAGTGCAGGAACTGTGAAGATGATAGGGAGTTGCAGGGGGTTGAGGATGGTGTGGAGTGAGGGGATGCAGGAGCTGTGAGGGTGAAGAGTGGTGGAGACAGAGACTTTGTGGGTGGCCGTTGGGGTTAGCAGGAGGTGTGAGGTGGGGAATGGAAGGATGGGGCCTGTGAGAGTGGGAATTGAGCTGTCTAAAAATAAAAGATAAGCAAAATAATCAAGATAGAGCTCAAATGAATTTTTATAAATGAGTGTGCACAATGATGTAGAGAGACAGTATGGGGTTTTGTGGAGAGTAATCTGAGTCTGTGCTGAAAAGTCATGAAAACTATAGGTGCCTGATTTCTGACCAATAGAAGGACCAGTATTGTGTACAAATCCAGATCCAACCAGATCAAAACTATCGAACCCTAGTACATCTCAATCTGGTTTCATACTGGACCATGCACGCTTTTCCCATTAGTAAGTAACAGCTCAGAGGGAGTGTTAGGGCCTACAGCTAAGGAGGGAAACATGTAAAAAACATTTTCAGCTCCATTTCAATCCAGACTATGCAGATAGCAGAACTACATTTCTTGTTAAAGGAACTCACTGAGCAATTACATCCAGCTACTCCATCAGAACAATGAATTGTCCAAAAAAAAAAGGCAGGAAATAAGGCCATTCAGCCCAGCAAATCCATTCTACATTTGCTTTAAAGGCCTTTCCTGATTATTTATTTCAAAACCCTGCTGCAAAATGGAGTCCAGTATCTAATTGCATAAAAAGAGTAAATGAGCTTAAAGTTCAAAAGTCAATGTCGTTATTAATCACTGCTGTCACTATGGTGACATTAATGCAAAACATCCTCTAATCTGTTATGTTTTTACATGTAACACAAAAGATTGGACTTAAATTTGACTAGAAAGCTGTTAAAACATCGTATTCACAAAGAGCTGGTTGTTTGTGTACAGCTGTGGTCTCCTTCACAAACACACTGTTTACAGAAACACTTGCTCTCCACAGTGTACACAAACTCACAGCCTTGTTCATTGCCACTAAATGCACTGACCTGTGGAATGTGAAATAACCCCAGCAGATTGGCGACTGCAGCTGAAATTCCAGATCCCGTTGCCCCCACAACTGCTATCGTTGATGGGATGTGATCAGAGCAGTTACAAAACTCGTCCAAGTTCAGTGAGTCGATTTTATTCTGGGCTACAAAACTCAGAGTTGCTTCCAGGCCTTTAGACACCGTGTTGCATGTATCAAATATCCTGTATCCGAGAGTGATATTTGGAAGAAATTTCATGCTATTGTTGATCTCCTCAATTGCAAATATCATTGCCTGCAACCACCGGAATCCTCTAAAGTTGTACCTGTTAATGATAATTGAAATGTGTTTATGATATTCTTATCTGCCTTTTCAGCCAGTCAGACTAATTGTGGCCTTTCTGTTGATCAATCTGTAATTAAGATGGACACAAGGAGAGGTGCCTCAGCCACATCAATGCATGCTCAAAACAAACTGTTGCTTTTTTTTGGAAGTATTTACAGCTTAATAACTAGCACTTTTAACAATGAAGAAAAGGTAAAGGCTGGTATTTATATAGCACCTTTCGTATCCTGAAGACTTCCCAAAGTGCTTTACTGCCAATGAACTACAGTTGCAGATACAACATAGGAAACACGGAAGCCAATTTGTATATCGCAAGGTTCTATAAACGTCAATGTAATAAAATCTAGTTAATCCATTACTTTTAATCACATTGGGAGAATTCTCCTGTTCCTCTCCAAAGTAATGTCATGCAATCTTTTAAGTCCATGTACGAAAGTAGATGTGACCTTAGTTTAAAGTCTGATCCAAATGATGGTACTTCTGACATTGCAGCCCTCTGTATTTAGTAATGCACTGAACATATTGTTTGCACATCTTTCTACAGTGTAATTTGAACCCACTGAACCCACTCACCACTGAACCACAACAGACAATTTTCAGATGCAACTTTCCTTCCTACTAATTAATTAATTAATTATTTGTAGTTAGTACAAATTACCTTTACATACCCATTGCCAAAATAGGTCTGACTAATCATGGCTAAGACTAATTTTGCAATAAGTTAATGTTTAGAATGTTAATCTTCCTTGGAATAATGATTCAAGGAAGGGAAAATTTATAATGAGAAAGTATTGTCAGCTGAATTACTTTGGTTACTACCAGAAATGTTTACATTGCAAACATTAACAGTAATAGCCTCTTTCTTCTGTCCACTCCACACCTGATGTCTTCAGCAAATGACTATAGTCCTCGCAAGGGAGTTCCATCTCCACCCTAAGGAGTTAACTGTTACCACATTCCACTTCTCATTTTGTTTTCTAAAGTGTAACTTGCACAAAAAGACATTCCATATGAATGACTCACTGCTAGGTTTCAAATATTTCAACATAAATGAGATGGAAGCTGTGGACAGGCTGAAAGGGATTTCAAAATACTAATCCATGGAGATTTATTCCAGCATGATGAAAGAGTCTGCAGGTATTATTGAAACAGTACCAATTATGGGACCATCAGTTGAATCTAAGAAGGTACCTGTAGATTCAAAATGAACTAATGTATTTCCCAAAATGGAAGAAAAACAGACACAGACAACTATTTCAAAAGCACCTTCCAAACCCACAACGTCTACCATCGAAAAGAACGCGGGCACCAGATACATAGGAACCGCTGCTGCATATCCTTTTCTAGCCACTCACTATGCTGACTTGGACCTTTTCTTTCTTCACCATCACTGAGTCAAAATCTTTGAACTCCATCCCTAATAGCATTGTAGGTGCAACTCCACAAGGTGCCAGCAAAGATGACTTGGTCAGCCGGGCAATGCCTGTACAAGAATAAAACTACAGACCCAAGAGTCGAACTTTGATAGTTGAAGAGGTGGATTCAATTATTTGGGATCAGCAGTTAGGAATATATAGTAATAACTTCGTAAACAATAACTAATGTGGACTTAGCAGGCAGAATCTTGCCTGTCCAGCGATTTGAGGAAATGGCCTGCCCAGGGGAAGGTTCAACTCCTAAAGGCATTCCACAGAGTCCCATACGCAAAAAAATACTTAGCCACATTCAAAGCTGTGGGAATCAGAGGAAAACTGGGAATGGAAAAGAAACCAGCTGAAGGTTAATAACTAAATCATTGGACAATTTATGATTAGGTGGGGAGAACAATGGATTCAGATTCTCCAGTGGTCATAGTTCTGACCAACAGTCAGAGAAACAAATACAAACTGCCATTGCAACACTTGTTCCAGAGATTAGCACCAGCTTGACTAAATCATCTCCTAAATGAGGGATCACAAGGATATTCACGTCACCTGCATATAAATTGAAGACTTTTGGACCATCCAACACCTAAACATGGCTAAAATCTCCAATTAAGTTGACCCAAAAACACAGAACACTGCCTCAGGAAATTCAATGATGATGGACTCGAGGTCTTTGCAAAAGAAGACCTATTCAGTTAGTGTCTCACAGCCAACCTGATGTCACTTATTGAACAGAACCACAGAATGTGCACAGCACCTGGTTTGCACTGAAATACATTGTAAGCAGCACTGATGCAGATGCTATTGGTTTCCTCAACATGAAAATTGGTTTGATGAGAATGATCAGGACATCCAGGAGCTGCAAAAAACTGCAAGCATAAGGTGTTCTGGAACTAGAAATACCACCAAAATTCAAGGGAAAGAAATCAGATCTACAGACAAATGAAGGCTGAGGTCCAACGTAAACTTCTGATCTAAAGAATAAATGGTGGTTGGAAAGAGAACAGGACATGCAGTAATTCACTGACAACCATGACATGCATGTATTCATCAGTGACAATCAAAACACAAACACGCAGCCCCATCACATTGTCTGTACTGAGAGCTAAGAATGGAGTAACAGTTAACAAGGACAGACAGGCAGTAAGCACTCATTGGGAGGAGTGCTTCGAGGATCTCCTCAACTGATACTCAGTCCTTGATTTGGGTGTCTTCAACCACTTCCCACAGATTCTAACTACCCACTGTTTCAGCACAACCTCTGCTCGACATGAAGTTGGGAAAGCCATCGAACAGTGAAGCCCCAGTGAGGCTGCTGGTGCAGAGAAACAGCGGAGAAGATCCTTTGCCATGACAATGTGAATCATTCCCCTGATCTGGAAGGAGGAGAGCACACCAGCGGACCTCTGAGTTGCAGGAATTGTGAGCAGCTTCAAGAAAGGAATCAAGACTGATTGCAATAACTACAGTGGGCTGTCTGCCACAGGGAAGTTAAAGGCACGAATCTTCTTCAATTGTCTCTTCCCCATGGCTGAAGAGTTCTTACCAGAGTCACAATGCAGATTCTGTCCATCAAGAGGCACAGGGGCCATGATCTTCACAGCAAGATGGGTCCAAGAAAAATACAGAGAGTAGCAGCAATATTTATACATGGACTCTTTGACCTCACGAGGCTTTCGACTCTGATATGTGGGAGAGATCTGGCTGACTGCAGAAATTTGTCACCATTCCCCACTTGCTCCAAGAAAACATGAAACAGATCCAATACAGACCCAATACAGCATGTACAAGCTGGGGTTAAGCATGGCTGCATCATTGCACCAATGTTCCTTTCTGCCTTCCTCACCACAATACTTCACCCCACATCCACGAAACGGAGCAACCCTACAGAATGGTGGGAAACTGTCAAGCCCAGAACCAAGATCACCCAACTTCCATCATTGAGTTGTAATACACAGATGATACTTGTATGTGTGCACATGCATAGGCTGAACTCCAAAACAGCATCAATAAGCTCTTGGAGGTGTTTGGAAGAATAGACCATAGGCTAAATATCTAGAAGACAAAGGTCCTCTATCAATCTGCTCCCGCTGCACAACAATGCCCCCGTCACTATCAAAATCTACAAGGAGCCACTATTGATAAGGATTGATAGTCAAACCTTGGGAGCCTACTCTCAGCGAGAGCAGACATCAATGATGAAATATTGCCTCCAGCATGCTAACACAGCCTTCGACCATCTGAGGAACAGTAATTGTTAATAAAGACCTCAAACCTCAAACCTGGCACCAGGCAAATGCTTTACAGGGCTACAGTTTTACCTGTCCTCCTCTATGCATTGGCAAAATCCTGCAAATTCAAGGGCAGGATAGGTGCTTCATTTCAATGTCTTCTCTCCTGCCAATGTCGAGGTACTGGTTATGGGCAATCAGCTGTGTTGGGGTAAGCTACATCATCTCCATGTCTGACACAACACTCCCAAACACAGCTCTCTACTTGGAGCTTTGTCACTGCAAGCACTTATGAAATGGCAGAGGAATCACTTCAAGAATGTCCTCAAAGTTCCCTGTAAAGTTGCAACATCCCCACCAACTTATGGAAATTTCTCTCCAATGCCATTCAAACTGTAGTAAAAACACCTACAAAGGTGCCAAGCATTTTGAGTGTCCCTAACAGGCCTATGTGCAGGCTAAGTGAAAATGGGCTAAGGAATTTTAAAAATTCCCAGCATCCCACCCTCCCAGCTCATCAACTATGACCTGCCCCATGATGGCAGATTGTGTGAATCCAATATTGGGCTGATTAGTCACCTCAGGACCCACAACTCCAGAGTGGAAGAATGTCATCCCCATTCCCAAATGACTGCTAAGAAGGAAGAAGAAGAGCCTCTAATTGATATGATAGCCCATGATTCAGAAACTCAAAATAGTGAAATTTGCTGATGGGATGGGACCAAACAGAAAAGGTAATGAAAGGAACTCAGTGCATTGGAAAAATTACACATGACACTTATTGTTTCTGACTTAAATAAGTGCGTGGATTGAGAAAATTATTAACTGACTTAATTGTGATTTAACTTCACTGTGAATTACAAAGGTAAAAGATTTCACTGGAAATGAGATACAATGAACCACCTGTGATGGGATTTCCATTCAATTGTTTGGCCTTGCTGTAACTCTTGTAGATTTGATAACTCAGATCTATGCTGAGATGAAACATCAGTTGCTATGTATGCAGGAATTTTGCTTACAAAGGTTTTTATTTTCTTTAATGGCTGCTCCATGCTTACAGCTGTAGCTTCTAGCAACTTCTACAATGTATTGACTTTTCTTTGACTGCACTCAGGCTTAACTAATTAAGCACAGTGAGCATCAGTAGTAAACAGACTCACATAATTAAACACAGAACATTTGAACACTGATTACATTTGATCTTATGCCAATTCCAAGGGCCTTACCATTCCATTAAGAGGGCGAAATTTGGTCTGGCTGAAGTTCATACAGACTTCAAGTTTCTTAATGCTGTTCCCTTGCTGGTGGGCAGTATTACCAATATGTTCACTTCAAATTTCAGATGTGAGGGGTGTTACTCACAAGAAAGTGAACAGCAATAAAGAAACTTGAATCCTACATCGTCCTTGGCTAGAGCAGGCATTGCTGTCTTAATGGAATGGTGAAGCCCTTGGAATCCAAACAAGATTACAGCAAAACCAAACAAATGGTTGGATGTCCCATCCTGTGAGTTGATATTAGCAATGAGCTCTTTTATGTCTGTAATTCACTTTGGAATTAAGTAATTCAATAATTTTATGAATCCAGAAAATGTATTTAGATCAGAAACAGTAAATGGGACATCACACATACTTGTGGCACTCTCTTTGCTGTTCATTTTCCCAGTTATACATCACTCCCCTAACTAATCCTCTACTTTTTTCTCTTGTTTGGATAGCTCATTATCCATCTCTAGGTTTTACACAACAGATCAATTGCATTAAGCTGCATTATAACCTTTCATGTGGTAATTATCAAAAGTTTTTGAGAAGTCTAAATATACTTCAGCAGATTATTCAATGTCCACTTAGGATATCATTCTCTCAAAAAAGACCTGATGTGGATGTGCCAGTGTTGGGCTGGGTTGAACAAGGTCAGAAGTCACTTCACCTGACAAAGGGGCAACGCTCCGAAAGCTTATGATTTCAAGTAAACCTGTGAGACTATAACCTGGTGTCATGTGTTTTCTGACCTCAAAAAAGATCAAACAGTTCATCAGTTGGGATCTGCTCTTTCTGACAGTGAGTGAAATCTCCATTAATTATAAGAAAATCATTGCGCTCACAATATTACAGTGCAAAATATTACAGTGCAATATTGCTAAATTATAGTAAGTCACAGTAGATTGCAATGAAATTTCACTACAGTACAATATATCTGAATGAACACTTAGTAATGCATAGCGTAGCTCACTCCAAACTCAAAATAGTTCAATATAGTACAATATCAGACCACCAATACACAGTATAACCCATTGAGAATTCAGTTAATTAGAATGTAATTCACTTGAGAACTCAACAACTCATATTAAAACTCTTTGGAACTATATTAATTCACACTTCAACTCAGGAAGAATTCAATCTGCAACCTAAGGAGAGGTCAGTGAGGGTTCAGCACTCATAACCTATTCACTGAGAAATAAATTAATTTTAGTGTACTGAATCAGCATTAAGTTGAATAGAATGTAATTCAATAATTTATATTGTAATTTGATACAAACTAATCATGCAACTCATTACTTTATAGTGCACCTCCAGTAATTTATGTTGGCAATTTTCCAGGACTTCTGTCTTTTAAGATTAGTAAAGTTCTAGTGGCAGAGTCAGAGAAATCCCAAGGAAATTCCTACATTACTGTAATCTAATAAGATGTCAGCATAAAACAATGAGATTCAATTCTTCACAGTTTTCTATAATACAATAACAGTACTTGTGGCACTCAGTGAGAATTCAATCACTCACATAGTTAAAAAATGAGCATTTCATAGATCACAGAGTAACTCAATTAGAAGTTAATATATTACTGTGCCTTGTAAGTACTCCAAAATTCACAGTAGGGTTCAATAACAATTCAGTAACTTACTGCATAACTGAATGCAAAATAAATTAATCACAGCGTAACTCAACCATGAAGCCCAGGCTGTGGAGTGTGATTCTGATATCTGTGTGTGATACTGATACTGCACCAAATAGCAAATATGATTAACTTACATTGTGTCTCTACTACTCCTATTACAGCTTGCACCAGGTTCCATTCACCCATCATCCCATGTTTATTGACCTACAGTGGCTCCCTCCATGTTTTAAAATTATTATCAGTTTCTGACTTCCTCCATAGCCTCATCCCCTGTCTACTTCTTTGGTTTCCCTCGGTCTCAGAACACTCCTCTACTTCTGACCTCTGCTACACCTCCGTTTTTCATTGCTCCACCATTGGTGGCTATGCTTTCAGTTGTATAGGCCATAAATTCTGGAATTTCCTTTATAAAGTTTTTCACTTCTCTACCTGTCTCTCTTTAAGATACTCACTGAAGTTTCCCTAACCAAGCTTCAAATCAGCTTTCCTCAAATTTTGTTTCATAATGCTCCTGAGAAGCATGTTCAGATGTTTTACTTTTTTAAAGGTGCCATTTGGATGCAAGCTGTTATTGTTGGGTAGGTAATGAAAATCTTAGTCCACATTTCTATAAAGAACAATTAGATGTTAGAAATTGTGAAGCTCTGTCAGACCTCAATCCTAACTTGGCAAATAACAGAAAAACTCAGCCACATCTCAATGAACCAAATTCATCAGGGAGTTGGGAATGATATTACCAGCTTACACTAAGACTCAGTGAGATCTCAAATGCTCTTTACTATTCTTGTTACATTGTGATGTATTACAACAGAGTATTTTAATTGTCTTATTAAATTCATGGGTGCTATAATATAATCATTACATCCTAATTAACCTTAACATTGTTCAACAAGATCTCTCACAGTACAACTGTACTAAAACATTATGTTATAATTAATGCAAATGTTTTGTTGAACAAAATACTATTACTGGGCCATCTAGTTATGTTGTTTAATGTACTATGACAATAGAAAACCTACTACCACTTTTGAGCGAGTTACAATGAAAATTACACTTCAAATAGTTCATTGGTGGTGAAGCACTTTGGGACACTTTGAGAGAACGAAAGGCACTTTTACACTATGTTCTTTCTTTCTTTAATCTTAATACAGCACAATGTAATTCAATGTGAACTTAGCAAATTATATTGCTTAGTACATCTAAATGTAGCTAATCTTTGTGTAACGAAAACTCCACACTGTATCATGCATCACAATGAAATATCTCATAACTCATTATAATCTACATAAAACACTGTAAATCAGTTAAAAATTGTATTACTTGTCTCAGGAAGAGCTGTGAAATATGAATTTTACTCCACAAATATTTTGGGCTCTTAATATTTGAATGACAAAATTATGAGTATGATATGCTTAGTATAATGAGACATAACCAATACACATCAGTAAAGAGGGAGAAAGGTACATTTTTGGAAAGAGGAGCAAGACATAGCTACATCTCTGGAAATCTCAACATAAATGAGAAATGTTACTTATGTTCCACTGAGACTCGCAGTAATTAACTAACAACCAGATGAGGCTTTAGTTCACAATTGTACTCTTTAGTGAGATCTGTGTTCAATCTCAGAAATTACTGCTGGGACCAGTGAGATTTTGGTAAAATCACAATGTAATATATAACAGTGATACATTATAGCTGGGGAGGCAATGGCCTAGTGGTATTATCGCTGGATTGTTAATCCAGAGACCCAGATAATGTTCAAATCTGGTTCAAATCCCGCCATGGCAGATGTGGAATTTGAATTCAATAAAAATATCTGGAATTAAGAATCAAATGACCGCGAATCCATTGTCAATTGTCAGGAAAAACCCATCTGGTTCACTAATGTCCTTTAGGGAAGGAAACTGCCATCCTTACCCAGTCTGGCCTACATGTGACTCCAGACCCACAGCAATGTGTTTGACTCTTAACTGCCCTCTGGGCAATTAAGGATGGGCAATAAATGCTGCCTAGCCAACGACGCCCTCATCCCATGAATGAATAAAAAAAACCTTACAGTGAGTATTGTATTTCAGATAAATCTTAGTAAATCACTGTACGGTTAAGTGAGAGTCAAACACTGACTGTATAAAATCACAATAGGCCTAAGTAGGATCTCAGTTAAGTCACTATATAACTGAATTAGATCTCAGTTACACTTCAATTACAGTTTCAGAGTGAGTCATAATATAAGTCATTTTATACATATATATATAGAGAGAGCAATATCATAGTCAAATCGATAGTAAACTTCAGTGAAATTCAACGTATATCAATGAACCAATGTATAATCACAATTCTTTTTCACTCAACTCTGATATGACTCATTAAAATTACTATGAAAGTTGCACATTTATAATTACAGGGAGATCAAACCGTGTATATTCAGTGCAAGTTTGGTTGAAACAGTGACTCAAAAAACTAATACAATAATACAATTCAGGTTTTCACTGTCATTCATCAGTGAAAACCTAATAAAAGATTGTTTCAGAATTGGAGCTAAGGTAGTTGAATGGCCAATTCTGACAGGAAGAAGATAGGATATTTTTTATATTTCCCCTTTATGTCAAATGAAAGAAATACTGTTGATGATTGTTTTGAGAAAGTCTATTTTTATATTGGGCTATTTTTCCAAATACTCCAGTCTGAATGAAAGTGTGAATGTAAACATATATGTGCTTTCAATAAATGCATTTTACCCAAATATATTTGAAATGTCTGTTGTACTTAAGGTCCTACCTAATACATTTAGTTGCCTCTGGTCTAGATTTTAAGTCTTGATCCTTTACAGCTACTCCGAAGTGTATTGGGAAAAGGCCTCCTAATATAATGTCTCCCTTTTTCTGTGCCCTTTGGTTGGGCCCATATCCTGAGACACTGTAAGATTGTAGAAGAGTAAATCCTAGGAACAAGAGATGGTAATAATAATGCCCCATTGTACAATCCTCTCTTGCCGATTTCTTTACCAAGTCAGATGGCTCCACTCCAAAAAAAATCGCTTAGAGAAAAATCGTTGAGGCTTTTTGCTTATCTTTGTAATGGTGAGGGATGACTCGATTGTAGAATTTTTGAAAGATGAAAACTGTTGCCTTCTTGAAGTCTTCCATCTTGTAAAAAGGTTATCACACAGTCTTATAGCTGATGAACAAACAATTCAGCTTTGTTCCATTTTCAAAGATTCCTTGGAGAAAGAAAGTGCAGAAGTTGAGTAACTGTAAGCTTGCACTTTGGAATTACAAAACATAAGTTTTTTTCTTGTTTTCAACCCTTTCTCATTTCATTCTATGAAACTCATTCATTTTGCCTTGGCCTTGATTTATCAAAGTATGGTGGAGAAGACTGAGATTCTAAAAACCGAAATCAGGAACAATAACAAAATTGCTAGATAAGCTCAACAGGTCTGGCAGCATCTGTGAAGAAAAAAATCACGTTAACGTTTTGGGTCCAGTGACCCTTCCTCAGAACTGAGTTAACTCTGATTTTTTCTTCACAGATGCTACCAGACTTGCTGAGCTTTTCCAGCAACTTTGTTGTAAGACTGAGTTTCTCATGATTTCTCACAATATCACACAAAGCTTGGTTGCAAGGAAGCAAGTGGCAGAAAAAAAAACATGACTATGATGGATGTGCACACAATATAGCACAATTCTCAAGGAAACCCTCATAAAAAAAACCTTTTGATTACTTCAATGATATCTTCTGAGTTTTCTTGTTATAATCTGAAAGTTTTACTTGCCTATCTTTTTAAAGTATAGTTTCATTTTTAACAACCTCAGCCTGAAATTCGTAAGGGCTTGAAAGCCACCTTATATTGAGTCTCCTGACTGGTACTCTCAGCCTGAATTCTGAGGGTGAGGCCCAGAATTCACATCATATGGTCCACACTAAGGGCTGCTGGAATCTTAGTTAGTTAGGAACACCAAGGAAATTAGGAACCCGTACTGTAGAAGGTTTCACTGATTTCAAAGACAGAATGACATGACAAACCTGACATGAGATTTGTTTAATCGTATACTTCGTGGAACATCTACTCTATATTCAATGCTGTAGTACTTACTGCCTGCTGAAACTTTATTGATTCTTGTATGAAATTTGTAACATTGTGCTTCCTTAATCAAATATGAAGGTGTTCTTTCCAATGCTAGCATGTGGCATAAAAATACTGAGGCACTCTAGATTGATTTGTAAGGAAATACCTCAAATTGGGAGAATGTGTGACCTGAGGAGCCCATGGCTTATTAATCCACAGTATTGGTATTTTCTTTGGAAAATGCAAAAGCAAATGAGTGACGGAATGAGACAGGGAACAAATATAGATCCCGATTGCCTAATTAGCATAGAATGCTGTTGAGATACTGAAAAGATGGAAACACGGCACTATTTATATAATTCTTTTTCTGTCATGAGACTTCACTTTAGTGGAGACTTCATGATGAGGTCACACTTTGGAACAGTGATCAAAAATACACAATCCTATCAGCAAGATTGTGCAATGTTCCGAGTATACTTGTGCTCTGTTCATAAGAAGACAAAAAGAAGTTATGCTTAGTTTAAGGAAAAACTACTAATAATTCGTACCCAACCACCTAAAGGAAATTCATCAAATTCCAAAACATCTTGCTTATCAATGGTCATCACAAACCATGCTTAAATTAATTCCTCTTCCCAAAACTCCCAATGTCCCGAGAAACATAGGATCATGTATGATCAAGAAGGTTATTTTCAACTATCATGCCAATTACAAATAGAATTCCTCAGATCTTCATCCATCACTCTCAAAAAACTGAGAACACCTTCCACTGTTAATCTTCCATCACTCAGGCCAATGTTTCATAGAAGCTAAGGGTTACTTTCTGGAAATCTGGGCTCAGTCTCTGAAACTATTGATCCTAAAACCCAGCCTTGTTTTTTTACTTCCAATACATGTTTTTGCTGTTTTAATGATGGTTAATTCTAAAATTTTTAAATAGCTCGTATTGCTTCATGTAGCCGGTTCCCATTTATTTTGTACTCCCTTTCTGCCCTCATTTTCATTATATAGGCCAAAGGAACTGTAGCTATGACTGTCTAGAAACATTGTAATAAGCAAAGGCATAAAGGGGGTAATTCTTACATTCAACACTTGGCCAAGTTAACAGGCCAAGTAGACAATCTGCCTTTTATAGAACCATCTACAATGGACACATAACCTGAACCTCCAGCTCACTCTCAAGTGATAAATGTGAACATTACCCCTGTGGAATCAATGGTGCTGGATTAATTGGCCAGTTTTATTGTCAGTATGACCAAGGAGAATCACAAAATCATCTAGTGCTAAATTATCTTTATGCCGCTTTCCCAATTTGCTTCATTTACCTATCTCCTGTGCTTGCAATCATTCTCCTCTAGGACTTTCCTAGCTACACAATATTGAATCTTGCAGATAGCACTGCAATTTATCTTTGGAGTGTTTTTTTGTTAAAAAGGAAGCTCTGTCATGGAAATTACTGCAAATTCCTTTGTATCTGGCAAGTGCAGATGACCAGAAGGTCAAACCCTGCCCTGGCTGTGAGAAATATGCACCTGCACATGCCATGCAGTCTGGCAGTTCAGCAAGAGAGGAACCTGAGACAAACACTTGTTTACCTTTGTTTCCCAGGAGTGTTGTGGGTGAGTGGGGGAGCCACGGGGCAGGATCCCTCCAACACACTTGGTCCCTCATTATATCTGACCCTCTAACACACCTGGTCCCTCACCATATCTCACCCTCCAACACACCTGGTCCCTCACCATTTCTCACCCTCCAACACACCTGGTCCCTCACCATTTCTCACCCTCCAACACACCTGGTCCCTCACCATTTCTCACCCTCCAACACACCT